AGAGGGCGCCACACCAGTCACGTGACCTCGATGACGTAACAATAACAAAAACTTTATTAATGATGTATGTACGTGTGTATGTCTTACTTAACAAAAATATATCAAAAAGTGATTACACTTGAAAATGCTAATGGTTTTATGTGTTTTCACACAGAGTCACTAAGAGATGGATCCGTAGGTTGACTTATGTTATAAGTTTACAAAAAAAAATGAGTTAAATAAGATAAAGTTCAAGTTCATTTGGCACAGTGCTAAGTTTTTCCATTAACTTAAAATTTCAGTTTTCGTTATGATTATGCTAATATATGCATGATGTATAATTAACAATTATTGTATACTGTCAGGATTTTATGTATATGTGGTCTGAGATTCTTCTACAGCATATGTCTGTGACTTGTTGGCCTATTCACTGAGGCTTCGAACTTTCTATAAACTACGCGACCGACGCTATAATGTAACAATACTCAGTTAAGATAATGAGAAAAACACCGAAGGTTCGAGTAACGTGACGTCAACAATATTAGTAAAACCCAGACAACAATGTAATTGCAAACACAACGTATGATTCGTACAGTTATGTAACGAATTTTTTCAAAACTAATGTCCCCTAGTGGCACAGCGGTATGTCTGTGGACTTACCACGCTAGAATCCGGGTTTCGATACCCGTGGTGGGCAGAGCACAGATAGCCCATTGTGTAGCTTTGTGCTTAATTCCAAACAAACAAACACAACTAACACTTTTTTTAAAAAATCCATCTTCAATACTCCTGTCTTAAAAAACTAAATAATCATTAAGTATTAAATCAAATAACTAAATAATAACACTTACACTAAACAGTCTTGTATATCCAACACAATGTGGATTGATGTACATGACATCTAAATACCTGAAAACATAAAAGTATTTGTATAAACTTTTGTAAAACATTAATATTGTACTAAATGATTATCATTATACGGACTCAGATTAATCATTGATAACCACTCCAAAAGAGTCCACGATGATATTGTTTGTTTGTAATTAAGCACAAAGCTACACAATGGGCTATCTGTGCTCTGCCCACCACGGGTATCGAAACCCGGATTCTAGCGTTGTAAGTCCGCAGATATACCGCTGTGCCACTGGGGGGCCCACGATGATATAGTCTTATACTGAACTCATACAAGTATATATATATATAAAAAATTACTGGAGTTGATTACTCTTCACACATTTCCAAGTTTGCAAGAATATTTCTATAGATACAGTCACAATATCTGTATTTAAAAACAAAATCTGTTTTGCCTTTTTCTTTCGTGTATTATCGCACATGTTTTCTTGTACCTAGTTCACTATTTTTCATGCTTTGTTTACTGTTTTAATAATGTATGTACAGAGTATGGCAAAACAGATAAAAAGTGGTAATAAGATGTGGTTTCTTGTAGTTTGTGACAAGCTTATTTCATTTTACGTTTTCTGCACAGTAATAAATGTACTTTTAAATTAAGTGTTTTCGAGATGAAGTGGTTTTTACGTTAAAAAGTTACGTATTTATAGAGCGATGACACAATAATAATTCAAGCACAGGAATAGTGGATAAACAAATAGGTTTAAATTTACCAACTTCTTCCAAAGATTCTTTAAAACATTGATTTCTATTAATATTGATTTTAAATTCAACAAATTCGCTCTCTACTTTTATCCAATAAATTGACTTAGTTATTTAAAGCCAATGAAAATTCCCTTATAGAGCTTTAAAACTCAACACCTTAAATGTATTTAAACTAATTATAATATGTCAAAATTTCTTTGATGTTGTTGTTTTACTATTAAGCACAAAGCCAT